GGTCCTCCCCTGGGGCAGGTGATCCCTCCACCCATCTACCTCCCACTCTGACCCCAAACTTACCCGGTTTCTGGTGTCAACTGCATCACCCCACAGAATGGCTCCAGCTGCACCCAGTGCTGCACTCTCTCCGATGGTGGAGATCAGGTCTGCCTGTGGGGACAGGGTCTAGTTAGTGCCCACAGAGCCCATGCAGCACGCACAGCCCCAGCACAGTGTGCTCCAAAGTGTCCATTGCAGGATCAGGGACCCAATCCCAGCTCCAGGGAAAAGGGACTGTCCAAACAACTTGGGGGCAAGGCTGCCCAATACTGCCCTCCTCCTCAAGGGTTAAGCCAGCACAGCACAGGAGCTGTGGGCACACACACCTCAGGGTCCTAGATGCCAGGACCTGAGTCCTGCAGTACATCCCAGGCACCTCCCTGGAGATAATCACCACTGGTGCCAGTCCTGCTGCCAGACATCCCATCCATAAAGGAAACAATTTGTAGCACCGAATCATCTACCCCAGAGAGGGGCTGAGCTGGGGGTCCTACGAGAGGAAGCACTCCTCCTGCTCCCTGGGGCCAGCTGCCAGCCCCATGCCAAAGGGTGCTGCTTCCCACCACATGGAAACAGTCAAACCATGCACCAGTAACACCATGAGTGCCGACACCAGCCTCCAGAGCCACCCTGCTCCATGGGAGCAAGATGCAATTCACAGGCAGAGGAACCACCTCAGCTGACCCCAAAGCCCAGATGTGCAGGGCTTGAAATGAGGATGTCCCAGTGGCACAGCCCTACCTGGCTGAGCACATTCAGCTTGCGGATGTAGGTGGGCCGGGTGTAGACGAAGACAGGTAGGGAGTAGTCATCGTGGTGCTTCTGGGAGATGCGCATGGCCTCCATCACCCGCGCCCGCACAAACTTGCGGCTGTTAGGAGTGGAGTCCAGGAGCGGGTCGAGGTAGATGGAGGGGTAGAGCGCCATGCTCTCCTTCCAGAGCCACTTCAGCTGGTCATTACGAGACTTCTCCACATCTGGGCACTGCCCGGTGTAGCTCTCCTTGTTCTTGTTGTAGTCGTGGTTGTAGCAGTCAGGGAAGAGGTAGAACCCCCAGAGCTGTTTGGGTCGGAAGCTCTTGGCCTTGCGCAGGGTTTTCACCATGAACTCCTGGGCAGCCGACTCAAACTCAAATGCTGCCTGCTTGTTCACCTTCTCAGGGGGCCAGGTGGGCTGACGCTGTAACACCAGTTCCTGTGACGCCTCCCGGTAGATATCCTTGGGCTTCCAGTTGCGAGCCCAGACAGGCCGCCACTCCTCCCAGTCGATGACAGCCAGCCCTTCTTTGGTGGATGAGCGGATGTACTTATCGATGCCGTCCTGGAGGCGGGCGAGGTGCTCGGACAGGCTGCTGTTTTGGGGGACACCACCATTGACGGCCACACCTTGATGGGTGTAGTAGGGGTAGAGTCCCAGGCGTTCCTTGTAGAAGATGGTGAGGTTCTGTCCCACGAAGCCCTCGTTGGGGGAGGCGTACAGGTCGAAGATGCTAAAGTCGAACGACACCTGGAAGCGGGGCTTGCAGTCCTGGGTGGGCACATTCCAGGCCACCAGGAAGGGCCGGCGGGTGAGATGGGGGGCGGCCGACGGCTTCTCGGGGGGCTGGCGGGCCAAGGCCAGCAGGGCCAGCCAGGGAACAGCCACCGCCGCCGCGCAGCCCCCGCGCATCCTGCCCGACAGGACCTGGGGGCGGCGGGAGAACAGAGTCAGAAAGGGGGCCGGCAGGAGGGGGTGCAGGCAGGAGCCGCTCTGCCCGCACCCCCCAAAGCGGACCCTGATCCGAGTCCCCTCCCGGGGCAGAGAGCTCCCGGGAGGTGCGGACAGAGCCCCGGCTGAGGGCTGGCTCTCGGGAATCCCGGTCCCAAGCGGCTTCGCCCGCTCGTGCTCTCCCGGCTGCCGGCGCGGCGCTGCCTTTGTTCGAGCCGGGCAGACAAAGCGCCGGGGCGCGGCCCCCGGCGGCCCCGCTCCGCTCCCGCTCCCCGCGCGGCTCTCACCGCGCCTCAGGCCATCCCCCGCCGCGGGCTCCTCCAGCACCGCCGCCGCCCCCCCGCCGCCGCTTTTAAACCTTCCGGCACGCACCACCCGCGGGGGTGCCGGCCCCGCCCCCGCGCCCCGCCCGCTCCACGCCGGGCTGGCTGCACCGACCATCGCGGGGCCCCGGGCCCCGGACGGCGGCGGAGCCCCGCCGCACACACACACCTCCGTGGGGCCGCGGTACCGGGCACCGGGCACCGGGGAGTCATCCCCCTGGTCCCGCCACGATTGGTACGGCCCGGGAGGACCCGCCCCCCCCACGCGGCGGAAAGGGGAGGGGCGGGGCCGCGGTTGGGGCCGGCAGGGGGCGCCACGGTTGGCGGGGGGAGCGCGGGGCTGAAGCGGCCGGGGGGCCCGAACCGCGCTGACCGCGGCACCGGGCTGACCCCAACGGGGTGCGGCGGTGCTGTCCCCTGGGGGGTGGTGGTATCCCCAGGGTCGAGGTCACTCCAGAACCACAGTGACCGCAGATCGGTGCTGACCCCAGGGCGGTGATGTCCCCAGGACCATCACCATTCCAAAGTGGGGACTCTAGAATGGTGGTGACCCCAGGATGGTATACCAGGATCATGTTGTCCCTAAAAAGTTGGTGATCCTACAATGGTGGTGACTCCAGAGTGTTGGCAAGCCAGAATGCTGGTGTCCTCGAGGTGGTGGTGACACCAGAAGAGCAGTGTCCCTGCAGCAGCAGTGTCCCCAGGACGGTGGTGACCCCAGGGCGGTGCTGTGCCGGACAGGACATCCTGTGCGGGGCTAGGGCAATCGGTGCTGCTGACTCAGCCATGGCCCCGTGGGCTTCCTGCCTGGAGAGGACAAGGGGGGCCATGGGTGTAACAGGGCTGGGGGGGCTTCCTTCCCAGAGTGCTGTTGAGGCTCCAGCCGGTCCCCTCTGGCAGGCAACAGGACAGGCAGGGCTCAGGGACCAGCCATGTGGCATGTGGCAGTCCCCATGTGCTGCCTGTCCCCCGCCTGCTCTGGCCAGGGCTGGCCCCATTGGGCTGAGGGCCATCGGGGTGCCCCTGCGCAGGAAGCACCAGACTGCGAGGGCGTGTCGGGGCCGGCAGGGGAAGGAAGCAGGATTGAATCTACGGAAGTGCTCCCCAGCCACCCACCAGCTCCCTAAGGATCAGGCGGGAGCACCAAGTCCAGCATTGTTCGGTGTCAGCTCCTGGTGCCTCACCAAGCCCTGGCCGCAGGCACCCGCAGCTGGCTCCTGTTAGTGGCACCATTTATTTAGGTGTCAGCTTTTGTGGTGAAGCTCCCACCCAGAGGGTGACAGCCCTGCTTGCATGGGCACTGCATCCCGGCAGGCCACTCCAAATCCAGGCTGCACCCCACAGCTCGGCCTGGCCTGCAGGCAATGCCAGGCCCCAGCTGGCAGAGGGGCTGGGCAGGTCAGCCGCTGGCCGGGCGTTGGCTGCCAAAACCCTTGGGAGAGATTGTGGGGAGCCAAGAAGTCCCAGCGCTGCAGGCGCTGCCCTTCCCCTCTGGGCAGTAAACAGGCTCCCTTGGCCAGCAGCTAAAACTTTCCATCCTCCTCGTGCGAAGGTATCCAGCCCCACCGGCAGTGGGGTGGCTGACGGGTCACAGATTTCCACTGCTGGGAGGGCTGGAAGTCCTCAATGTGACGCAAATTCTCACTGCTGTCCCCTCGGTGGAAGCATCACCTGACTCGCTTTCCCTCCTTCCTTCCCACAGGGAAGACTTGCTTTTGGGAAGGGGCAGCTGGGCAGATCCAGCCTCCCCTTGCCCTGCCGAGCATGAGATCATTCCAAGTCATTCCCAGAGTGTAGAGGAGTGCGGGATGGCAGCAGCGGGCAGCGACCAGGGCGAGCTGAGCAGGGGAACTGCTCCAGGCAGGCAGCAGGAGGATGGGAATCCCTCACGGATGGCAGATAAAGATAACGGGTGTGAGTCACAGCCACTGTGCCAGACAGGTCCGGGCAAGGTGTGAGAGGAGGTCAGCTTGGGAATGGAGCAGCCATGAAGCCAGAAGGGGATGTCGGCACCTGCCTTTGCCCTGGGCTGGGGGCTCCGGGCATGGCCCTGCCCCACGGGCAGCAGGAGGGGACTGTGGTGGCCCTGGCAGACACAGAGATGGTCACGGAGCCAGAGCCACCGCCTTGTGTAACCTCGCCAGGCTGTACCACCCTGCGCAGCCACCCCGTCCCCTTCTAAGCCAGGAGGATCCACCCATCCCTCCTGGGGCTGGGGTCCCTGGCCCCTGAGGCCGGAGGGCTGGCACCACACACTGCACCACTCACTCTCATGACCGCTTTCATCAGCGGCTCATTTCCGAGCCGGCTTGGCGGAGGAAATGATGAGAAGTGACGGTGGCTGCAGGAAAACACTTGCAGGGTTGTCGGGGACAGGACGTGGGGGACAAAGTGAGATCACACTTGCCCCACGGACAGCCGGCAATGCTCGGGGGACGGGCGGCATCCCGGCACAGGGTCACGCCGGCTCCAGAACGTCAGGCCCCGTGATTAATGAGGCACTGATTTGGCAGGCGAGGAAAGAGCGCACAGGCGGATCCTCCCGCCCGCGGGGCTCGGGCGGAGCCATGGCAAGAGTCAGCTTGTGGCTGGGCTGCTGCGAGCCCCGGTCCTGAGACCTCTGTCCCCACACGGGAGGGGAGAGAGGCCCGAGCTCCAGCCCACGGGAATGAATAAGGAAATTACATATATTTCACGTTAGTTATACATTTAAGAGTTGTCACGGCAGCTACAAGTAGAGAGTCACAGCCTGATGCAGCCACCAACTCCTGCCAGTCCCATGTGCCAACTGGAGAACCTGGAAATGGCTGTGACTCGGGGGTCCTTCCACACGTGCACAAACACCCCCTTCCCGAAAAAACAGGGGGCTCGAAGTCCACCTTCCCTCAGGTACATCTGCCTTCCCCAGTAAGACAGCTCTGGGACTTGTGGGCTCTACAAATAATTTTATTGAAATTTAACAAAAGTGGACAGATGCACTGGGAGGAAGGACCATAAGTAGTGTACATTTCCCAAACCCATGGGTCCTACCCACACGCTAGGGGAGCAAGGAGCCTAGTGTCGGTGAGTACGATTCGGCTACACATCCACACGGGAAAGCACAATGGTGCACAGAAATTGTAAAAAAAAAAAAAAAAAAAATCAAAAGGAAAACTTTTTTTTTTTTTTTGCTTGCTCCAACACCACAGTGGACACAGATACTATTTACAGTGATCTTCACACTTTTAAGATCCCTCCAGGTGCTCCCAAGGCCCTGCTGCTGCAGGATTGCTGGGGTCCTGGGGGCTGGCTGCTGTGGGGACCAGCCTGGGAAGAAGCGGGGCAGGGTGCAGTTTGTTGGCAGCCTGCAGAGGTTCGCTGCCACTCTGGTGACACTGAGGGGGTACAAGAGTGGGAGAAGGCATGGGTTTTGGGGAAGTATGTTTAATACACTGGGGGAAGGATGGGCAGCCTGTCAGAAAGGACAAAAGCATCCTTGCTAAGCTGGTCACAGTCTCTGCCCCCTCCCCCAGATTCAGGCCATGCCTTGCCAGCAGATTTTTGGCTGGTAGCCAGGTGAGGGGCTCCCCACTGGGGCAGGCAAACACTGCCAACCCCCTCCCCACTCCTTGTCCTCCTTCCCCCCTGCCCAAGGCGGGGTCGGTGCAGCTTCCCATGCTCTCAAACAGCAGTGGGGCAAGGCAGCACAGACAGCGTGGCCACAGTTTTCTCTCCTCTTCCTGGGGACAGCAGCTCCTGCTCTCCTGTGGAGCCCAAGGGATGCCCTTCCCAGAGAGCTCCAGCCAGGGAGAAACTCAAGAGCAGGTGGTGCAAATAAGAAACACTTCAGTGAGGGATTGTTTTAAGACAAGACTCTTTCAAGCAAGCAGAACAAAAGATGTCGAAAGAAGCGCCCAGCATCACAGTGTAGATGAGCCCTGCCCTTCCACTTTCCTGCCTGGTGGCAGCCAGCACATCCATGTCACCCTGTGTGCTCGCTCCTGTCGATGGGAACCGCGGGTGGAGGGACGTGAAGGGAAGAGGTGGTGACAGGAAGACAGCAACAGCCACATCGCCGTTATCTCCCCGAAGCTGGGAATGTGGCCCCGCGCCCGGGCGGCTCTCAGCGGACGCGGGGATGGATACATCCAACGTAGACACCGACAGGGCTGGCAGCCAAGTGCCAGCAGCTTAAATTAAAAATCGAGGTAGCAAACATCTGAAGTGCTTAGAAAGTAAATAAGTTCTGGAACGAAAGAGGAGGAAAGCCGAGCTGGCTGCTGTGGGGAGTAGGCTCTGACCCACTTTAAAGCTGTGCCTGCTGCCGGTCCTCCTCTGCCTGCCCGGTCTGGGCAGAGCTGAGAAGGGAGGCAGGGGCTCCTCATGCTGCCAAGGCATTTGGGGTCAAGCCTTTCCCCCAGCAGCTGGACACACACAGGGGTGAGAGGTTCTTCGGTGCTGCCAAGACCTCGACTTTCTTAGGTGGGAGGAAAGAGGAGAAAAGAGCAGGACCTTCCGAGGTGGGGCAGCAAGCCTCCCTTTAAAGTGCATCGCATTTCTCCTCCAGCCACCAGCTGGGATGCGGGAGGAACCATAGTTCACATCGCCAGGGAGACTTCCAAGCCGGGGCAGGTACACCAATTGATTGTTTCAGGGGCACAGGGAAGGAAGACAGGATTCCTTTCCTGCTTGGCTCAGTCGAGGCCCAGCCTACAGGGAGGTGTGTTCAAACAGCAGCGGGGGTGAGGAGGCTGCCCGGCAGCCCAGCCCCGCAGCAGCAGGCGAGGGACGGTGCTCAGCAGGAGCCAGTGTGACAATGGGGGAGGCAAGTCCGCTGCAGAGCTGGGATCTTGCTGCCACCAGCAGGGGCCAGGGACTGCAGAGATCTCCAGCAGGCAGCAGTAAAGCCAACCTCCCCAGTGCTGGCTTAAGTGGGGAATCGCAGTAGGGGAAGAGACCGAGGTCTAAGAGAGCGGCATCTGATCTCCATCCCCTCCCCGAGAGGAGAGCAGCAGCCAGCCCAATGTGCTTTGAGACCCCTCAGCCTGCTCTGCTTATCCTCCATCGACAAACCCACACAGGGGAGCGTCACATCACACCGGTGTCAAAGGGACATGCTGCAACACTGGCCATCTAACCTGCGGGCCCCAGGGACCGCGGGGTGCAGGGCAGGGCGCTACCGTGCCCTGGCTCTCCCTGGGCCGCATACCTGAGAAGCAGGGGATTCTCTCTGATGAGAAGTGCAGGCTTGCTCTCCCTTTCACAGCTCAATCACAGCAGCTTGTCTGCAGTTCCAGTTACCCATCAAACGTCGGCTAGAGGCTACAAAAGGTATTTTAGTCTTCTGACTCAAGCGAGGATGTTTTTAAGCAGTCATTGCACAGAGTCACCCATCTCCTGCGAAGGCCTGCTCCGTCCTGCCTCACCTCCAGGCGAGGGGAGAGCCACCATCCTGCCACACGGCTGGAGTCCTCCTCGGTGGGAACACGATACAGCCTGGCCCAGTGAGGCTGGAGGTGGTGGGGCAGGGCCTCCCACCCACGGGCAGCGATGTCTGGGACTCACACCTCGCAGATAATCACTGGGAAATCCACGTGAATGCGAGGATGCTCTAGTTTCACTATGCCCTGAAAGAAGAGTCAGAATGGTGAGCAGAAGGGACGGCAAATCAACATCCCCGAGCCCTGCCAGTCACCCAGTGACACTGGCAGAACACTGTGCCCTGGAGGAACGGGAGGGACCAGGCTCCATAAATCGCCTGTGACACCAGGTACGCCTGAGCAGCAGCACACAAAGCAGCAGCCCTTTGCCCTTCGCACTCGTCCCTGGAGAGCCGAGGGCGGCACGGCTGGCTGCCACCCATGGCAGGGCGAGAAAGGAGGGAGCTGCTCTGCCAGGCACTGCCCGTGCAGCAGCTGGTGCGTGACTGGCAGATATTGGCTGTCTGGGCTTTTCATGCGGCACCTTTCATTCACGGGATTTAGAGGAATGAAAAGAGCTCTCTGAGAGAAGGCAGCCGGGGCAGCTGGCGCACAGAAAAGCGGCTTTCTGTGCAGAGGGGAGGCTGCTGAATGCACGCTCCCTCCACACCAGCCACAGGAGCTGTTCCCATGCCCCAGCCCAGCCTTCTCCTGTTACAGCACCAGGTGGGGGCTGGGGCAGAGGGGGAGAAGGGGCTCAGGGCTGGGCCTGCACCCGCAGAACCAGAGTAAAGCCTGAGCTAGCAAAGGACTGTTCAGTGCTGGTTCCTGCTCTCTCCAGCTCAGCTGAGTTTTCCAACTGGGTGAGTTTCAGCCCACATAAACGAGGACTCAGTTCCAATGCCAAGCCTGCCTCTGCTAGAATGCCAGCCCAGGAAGCAGCACCAAATCCTTCCATCCACAACTGCCTGCTCAGCACTCAGAGGGGTTCCATCCAGCTGAGAGGCTGCCCACTCCTCAGAGTACACTGACAGCTCACCCCAGCTACTCATTACAGCATGCCCTTCTGCTTATTTAGGGATGACTTCTATAAAGGCTCTCTCCAGCCCTGGTTTGATCTGCTCTTTCCTCCATTTTTGCCCCAAAAAGATTCCCTACATGCAGGCTATTCTACCCCTGCACCATGATCCTCGACATCCCAACCCCTGCCCAGCTTCACACCACTTGCTTATTTAAAGAGGAGACTTTTCCACTGAAGAGCAAAGCAGAGAGCTGTCAACACTGCTGAGCAGCTGGAGGGGATGTGCAAACTCATGACAGCAGCTGATGGGCTCTGGCTGCTGCTCCCCAACACAGGGCCTGGCCCTCCACAGTGATATGACACTGGCTGAGGCAGCACAGCACCCTACACCTCGTGGAAGGTGCTTGGTAAGGAGACGCCATGGCCACGCAGGGCTGCCTGGCACTCTGTGCCCCACAACATCTTCCCCTGCCAGGCAGCTCTGAAAGGCTCAGGCACTGTTTCTCTCCAAAAAAGGCAGCTGGAGGGTGCCACCAGCTCTCCCTTTCCTGTCACAGCCTCAGGTGACACGGGTGTGAGCCAGGACACACAGGAATCATGGCTCTGAGGCAGAAACTGGGGAGGAGGAAAGAGCCTCCACCTTTCCAGTAAGAAGATGCCCCGAGGGAGATGGTTCCTGTAAAGGCCGGACTTCAAGTGTCACCATAGCGCTTTGCACTCACTTTCCCCCACCCTTCTCCGCACATTACCTGAGGTATCAGGTTCTTGTGGATCCTCTTCAGCTTGGCGCGCTTCCTCCCGTTCTTCGTGACGATTGTCTCCTCGTAGAACTCGTGAGCAAGGTCCCCGTCCTCATCGTAATACATGGAGCTGCCGAGAGGAGAGGGGAGGCGTTGGGGTGAGAGCCTGCCGGCCCTGCCGGCTCCCTGCGCCCCGAGCCGGGCCGGGGGCTGGGGCAGGCCGGTCCCCGCTCCCGGGGGAGCTGCAGCGAGCACCCGCTGCCCCTCCCGACCCCCGCGCCGTGCCTGCGCTGGGGCGGGCCCAGCGGCAGAGCCCCCGGCCCACGGCAGCCGCCCCCCGCGCCCGCGTCTCACCCGCGCCGTGTGAACACGAAGGGGGTGGCGGCGCGCGCGGCCCGCGCCCGGGCCAGGGCCTGAAGGGACGGGGGCGGCCCGGAGCCGCCCGGCGACACCGACCGAGCGCCGCCTGCGCCGCCGCCCGCGCCACTTCCGGCGCCCGCGTCACGTGACACCGGCGCGGGGCGCGCCCTCCTCCCCGCTCGCCGCCGGCAGCGCGTGAACCGCGGGTTCGAGTCCCGCCGCCGCCACCCCGCACCACGTGTGGGCACCCACGGCCCGCCGACACCGGGGGGACTACGCGTCCCGTCCGTTCTCACCCAGCCCGCCCCGCCAAGGACACACCGCAGGCCAGGCCTCGTCACCAAGATGCCTTTATTGGTGCTCAATGCCCTGCTTCTTCGCAGGGACACTCACTTCTCCGGGGACACTCGCTCCCCCCATATCACCCACTCCCCTGGGGACACCCAATCCCCCAGGTGGCACTTGCTTCCCGCAAGACACACGCTCCCTTCGGGACACCCACTCCCCTGGGGAGACGCAATCCCGCAGGTGACACACGCTCTCTTAGGGACACCCATTCCCCTGGGGACACCCAATCCCCCAGGGTACACTCGTTCCCCCCAGGACACACGCTCCCTGGGGACACCCACTCTCGGGTGACACTCGCTCGCGCTCCCATCAGGAACCCTCACTCTCCGGGCCAGCCCCATGGGGGCTGTGACAGCCCGGTGGCTCCGTGGTGCCCCGTTCCACCCCCCTCCCTGCTGTCCCCACCGCGGCGGGCGAGGATCCTGGTGCGCTGGCTGGCCTCGGTGCGCGCCTCGCGGTCAGCCCGGCGTGAGCGCGGCCAGCGCCTCCTGCATCTTCTGGCGGCAGCGCGCGTAGCGGTGCCGCAGCCGCCGCACGTGCTCCTCCTCCTCCCGCTGCAGGATCAGCAGGAAGTTGTGCAGCTCCGGCAGCGAGAAGGCGTCCCACTGCAGGCACAAAGGCTGCCATCGCCACGGGGACCTGCAGCGTCCTTCCATGGCCACCGCCCCGGGCAATGCGGGTGCCAGCCCCCTCCCCGCCCCTGCACTCACGTTCACCTCGCCGGTCTCGTTCTCCTTCAGGATGAAGCTCAGCACCTTCTCGCTAGGGCCGGCCAGCAGCCGCAGCCGCAGGGGCTGCTCGTCGTCACCCAGCTTCCGCAGGTACACTGCAACGGGGCCACGCGTCACCGCGGGGACACTGCCGCTATGGGGACATCACTGCTGCTACGGGGATGCTGCTGCTATGGGGACATCACCACCACAGGGAACACCACTGCTGCAATGGTGACAGGGGACACTGTCACCAAAGGGGGATACCACTGCTACAGGGATGCCGCCACCACGGGGATGCTGCTGCCTAAGGAAAGCTGTCACTATTGGGGCACCACTGCCATGATATTGCCACCATGGGGGACACCACTACTATGGGGACACCACTGCCGCGGGCATGCTGCCGCCACCATAAGGGACCCTGGGGACACCACCACCGTGGAACTGCCACCACCCAGGGGAAACTGACAGTACGGGGACACGGCCACCACTGTGAAGACAGGGTCACCCTGGGCACTACCTTGCTCATCCTTCTCAGACCTCTCGAAGAGGGCGAACTTGCGGGGGTTGTCGATGACGGTGAACTTGCGGAGGAGCGCGTCGATGACCTCGCTGGCGCGGGTGTGCGAGAGGATGTGCAGGTGCTTGACGGTCCCCTTGGGCAGGTAGAAGGACGTGCGGCGCTTCACGCCCTGGGGGTGTGGCCGCCCCGCCTGCAGGGAGGGGACCCGCTTGGTGGCCGGCACCGAGACAGGGCGAACCAGCTTCAGCTGCACCTTGATGAAGCCGGTGTAGGAGCCGTCTTTGTTCTACGAGACACCGGTGGTGGGTGAGTGGGGTCAGGGCAGGGCACCGTGACCCTCCGGGCCCTGTGCTGACCCCATACCAGGCTCATGAAGAGGTTGCTGTTGATTTGGCTGTTGTACTCCTTGATCCGCTGCTCCACCTGCGCCTGGTCCAGCTCTGTCTTCTCCCACTCGCTGGGCTCATCCTGCGTGACAGCAGCCGGGCTGAGCGGCACAGAGACCGGGGGGGACCGTTCCCTCTGCCTCGGTGTCGCGCCGGCCCCCAGCCCACCGCGAGGCACCGGCAGATGCGCGGGCGCTTGCACGGGGTTGCATCAGCCCGGCCGGCGCTGTGCCGGGCACGCACAGCTGAGCTCACCGCGGCCCCAGCCCTGCTCCGGGGACACCGGCACGGGCCGCCCCACAAGCGCCCGTCCCCGGGGCTGCAGGGCTGTGAGAATGCACTGCGAGGACACCCGGAGCCGAGCGTCCGCTCCCGGCACCCCAGATCAGAGAGGCGTCCCCAAGGCAGAGCGCCGGCAGCCGCCAGCCCGGCACCAGGGCGTCTGGGCAGGCTCCGCGCCCGCGGGGACGCCGAGATTTGAGGCAGGAGGGCCGGGCTGGGGGTGCAGCCCGCCCTTGCCGCCGGCACCCCACTTCAAAGTGCTGGCCCCACACACGGGAACCGAGCGTCCTGGCTCGGCGTCCCCGCCACCGGCACCCACTAATGAGTATTTACGCGGGGCCGCGGAGCTGCCACACCGTGCTGCACGTGTCCCCACGGCACCGAGGGGTTCCCAGCCCCGACAGCCACCCCACAGCAGGGTCCCTGCAGGATGGGGACAGCTGTGAAGCTGCCCGGGGAGTTTGTCCCGGCACCCCCAAAGCTAGGAGCAGCTCCAGCCCTGAGGGACCGTGGGGTGCCCGTGCCAGGCAGCGAAACTCCACTCGCCCCACGGTGCCTCGCTCACCCCACATCCAACCGGACAGGGCCACCGCGTCCCACGGCACGGCCATGCCTGACCCCACTCTTGCCCCACAGCAGGGCCAAGCTCACCTATAAGACAAGACCACTAACACCTCTGGTTTTCCCCACACACCAAGCCCACCCTGGCCTGCTCCCCAGAACCCAGCCGGGGGAATGGGCTCCCGATGACGTCACCCGTGTCCCCCATTACGTCATGGCCCGGGACCGACCTGGCGGCGGCGCGGGCGGCGGCCGAGGGAGGTGCGGGCGGTGTAGAAGAGCTCGGGCTCGGAGTCGGAGTCCTCCTGGCTGCAGTAGCCGCTGCTGGCCGTGCTGCCCCCCGTGCCCCCCGCGCCGCCCCGCCCGGGGCGGCGAGCACACGGGCACACCCGGCCCCGCGCCAGCCCGACCGGCCCCCGGGCCGGGGCCCGGCTCGGTCCGCTCCCGGCTCGGCTCAGCCCGCTCCCGGTCCTTGGCCCGGCTCCGCTCAGCCCGGCCCTGGGCCCGGCTCGGCTCCGTTCGGTCCCTATCGCGGCTCGGTTCCGCCCGGTCCCGGTCGCAGTCCCGACTAGGCTCCGCCCGGTCACAGTCTCAATCCCGACTCGGCTCCGCCCGGTCCCGGTCTCAGTCCCGGCTCAGCTTCCCCCGGTCCCTATCGCTGTCCCGCTCGGCTCAGCCCAGTGTCTATCGCGGTCCTGTTCCCGGCTCGGCTCAGACCAGTCCCTATCGCGCTCCCGTCCCGGCTCGGTTCGGCGCGGCGTCTACCGCGCCCAGCCCCGTTCCCGGCTCAGCGCGGTCCCCGTCCCTGCCCCGCCCCGGCCGTGGGGTGACGCGGGCCGGGGGCGGCGCGGCGGCCCCGCTTCCGGCGGTGACTTCACCCGCGCCCGCCCGGACATGGCTTTGCCCCGGCTGGGCTCGGCTCGGCTGGGCTCGGCTCGGCTCGACGGGGCGCGGACAGCACGGCATGGCACGATCTCACTCAGCCCAGGCCAGCCCAGTGCAGTCCATCAAGGCTTGGCACAGCCCTGCATGGCACAGCATAGCCCGGCATGGTGCAGCCTGGCATGGTACAGCACAGCCTGGCAGGTCAGCCTCGCTCAGCTCAGCTAAGCCCAGCTCAGCAAGGCTTGGCACAGCCTGGCATGGCACAGGCAGGCATGTCATGACATAGCCTCACATGGCACAGCCCAGCACAGCTCCCAGGTTTACCACCCCTTGCCCAAGCTCTCCCTCACAGACAACCCCAGCCCCTACCACATTGGTGTCCTTCTCCAACACCTGCTCATTGCCATCGTCCTCGTCACCAGCACCTGGGGGGCCACCGCAGTCCAGCTGCACCAGGGCCCGGCACCGGTAGTGGCAGGTGAAGCTGCAGTCTGGGGACAGAGACAGGAGCAGGGTCACCACTGTGCCCAGCCTGGGTGTCAGGGTCAGGGCACTGGCGGTGGGACAAGGGCTGGCACATGGTGTCAGCTGTCTGCTCATTCTGTGCCTAGGGGCTCAGGGGCAGCATCAACATGGGACATAGCACTGTGCCACATCCTGACTGGTGCTGCTGTGCTCCCTGCTGGGCTGGCCAGCATGGTGTGCGCAGTGCCTGGTACTGGGATGCCCAGTATGGGTATCCAGTATTGGGATGCCCAGTGGCCGGTGTGGGTACCCAATGCTGGAATACCTGGTGCAGGTACTCAGTACAGGGGTGCGTGGTGCCAGGTGAGGATGTTCTGTATGGGGCTGCCAGTGCCTGATGTGGGTGCCCAATACAGTCGTGTCCAGTGTTTGGTGGCAGTTCCTGGTGCCCAGAGGCCCAGTGCCTGGTGCAACTGCCCAGAACGGTGATGCCCAACTTAATGGAAGTGCCTGGCACCAGGATGCCTGGTGGGGGTAGTTGGTATTGAGATGCCTGTAGCCAGCCCGGTGCTGGGGTGCCTGTGCCCAGTGGTGGGACAGCTGGTGCTCAGTGAGGGGCCCACCGCCAGGGGGTGGGGGCCCGTGGGGGTGCCCGATGGCAGGATGCTTTGTACCCGCTGGTTGTCCCGTGGCAGCATGCCCGGTGCTGGGAAACTCATGCCCAGTGGTGGGACACCCGGTGCTCAGCGGGGCTGCCTACTACCAGGATGTTCTGTGTCCTGTAGGGGTGCCCGGTTGGTGGGATGCCCAGTGGGGATGCCCAGTGGTGAGGGTGCCCGGTGGCGGGGCATCCGGTGCTCGCTGGGGGTGCCCGGTGCAGAGGAAGCCGGGTGGCGGGCCGCCCGGTGCCTAGCGGGGGTGCGGGGTGCCGGCACGCCCGGCGGCGGGGGTGCGGGGCCCGGGGCGCGGCGCGGTACTCACGGCGGCACTGGAGGCTCTTCCTGCCGCCGCCCCAGACGAAGTCCCCGCAGAGATCGCACCAGGTGTGCAGCCCGCGGCGCCGCGGCTCGAAGCGGTGCCCGGCGCCCGGTGCCGCCGTCAGCCGCGGGTCAGGATGCGCGCCGGGGCCGGGCCGGCGGGCCGGGCTGATGCGCAGCGCGTTGGCCCGCTCCAGGCGGCCCCGGCCCGGCC